GTTTTGCCAAAGGGATAACTTGATCCTGTTACTGTTTTATTGTTAATTCTAGTCGGATACGAAACGGAGAGAAAAAAAACCTACAAAGCGAAGGTAGATACACAGTTAATTTCAAATATTTTGAAACAAGTTTGCATAGTTGAATAATTGTGTTTTCTACCTAGTACATTGGGTGATTGTCACAAATTCAAGTTTTCTCCTAGTACAATTGACATCACCAGAGTGAGCTTTTGCATTTTTTAGCTTTCCGTAGCTGATAATGATTCAAGTCTCAACTTCACACGAAAGGAATGGACCCTTGATTTGCATCCTATTATAATGAAATTTAATTCTGATAAAGAGCGACTCTTTGCCGCCCTGCAAAAACACTGAAATAACAGATGTTTCTATAATTGCCTTTTATTGCTATTTCATAACAGAGGCACCCAAAGGTTCCCGGGAAAAATTTTTTTTTTTTTGATCCAATCGAAAATTTCCTGATGCATTTTAAATGAGTAAGTCAGTATGCGATTGTTATTTAGGAAGTAAAGCTACAGTAATCCTTGCTGTCATTTTTCGTTGCAAGAACAGAAACCTATAAGAAAAGGGAAACGCCGAAGACAGAATTATGTCGACAACAAATTTCAGTAGCGGTAGAAGTCACACGAAATCATTTTATGAACTGCTATGCTCTCCCTCTTTGATGGGTGGGCTTCAACAACAATCAATTTGCTTCTTAGCGGTTGACATTCTCCTCTCCATCACAGCATTTACTGGAAATTCTCTTATCCTTGTGGCACTTCACAAGGAATCCTCCCTGCATCCGCCGTCCAAACTCCTGTATTGTTGTCTGGCAACAACTGATCTGTTAGTTGGTCTTACTTCCCTGCCTATCAGTGCTCTATATTGGATGTCCGTGTTTCAAGAACACTGGAGCCTTTGTCGATGCGTAAGGGACGCAGCCTACATCACAGGCTATGTATTGTTTTTAGTGTCTTTGATGACGATGACGGCCATAAGCGTGGACAGACTTCTCGCCCTGTTGTTGGGACTGCGATACAAGCAAATTGTAACTTTGAAGCGCACGTATATTATTGTAACTACCTTTTGGGTTTTTAACCTTGTCGCCTCTTTAAGTGAATTTTTTTATCACCGTATAATCTTTATGTACAGCTCCTTAGTTATATCATTTTGCCTGGTAATATCATTCGCATCGTACACAAAGATTTTTTGCACTCTCAGAAATCACCAAGCACAAGTAGGAGATCAACAACAGCCGAGCCAAACAAATGCACTGAACATGGCGCGATTCAGAGAGGCAGTATACAGTGCACTGTGGGTGCAGTTAGCATTAGTTGTTTGTTATGCACCACTATGTACAGTGAATATTGTGATCGCTCATACCAAAAAATATTCATTTCTCTTATTCGTCATATATAAAGTAGCAATTATTTTACTTTGCTTCAACTCGACGTTAAACCCGTTCCTATACTGCTGGAAGATTAGTGAAGTGAGACAAGCCATGAAGCAGGCAATTAGAGAAGCACTTTGCTGAGTTAGGTCATCCTCGAGTTGTTCCTCAGACTTTGAAAGCAGACCTATTAAGTCACAATTATTATTGGAGAGCAGTCGTTAAATACTTTATTGGATAAAAGTAAATTAGTGGCTCAATAGAATATATAGTTGCACAGGCTGTTGTCGATAGTCTTTATATCTCTGAGAAAAATTTAACGACAGACTAGGTAACGGTAGTATGTGTTTTCAAAAATATGGTTTCTTGCCGCTATGCTAAAATACAAGATGTCATAATCGAAGAAAAGATATGCAAACATTTTACTTTCATGTTTTCTCCTCTTAGCAGTATGAAGGTATCAGATAAAACTTCGAAGAGGAGTTTAAGAGATGTGTTTGAGGCCGATGTTGCGTGTTTCGAGAAAACTATTTCGACTCATTTTTCCTGTAATTAAAAGAAAGCGCTTGACTTTGATGTTGACGCCATATTGCCAAAAGAGACAGTCCAGTTTAAGTCTAGAATTTGTCAGAAAATTATCCGTAAAGCTTATGTGAAGAAGTTTATTTTTTCTTGTATATTTAACTGAAAGTTACGAAAGTATATGAAATAAAATTGACCATCTCTGTTTGTTACGGAATTTTTTTACAGATCGATCGATGTGCTGAAGTTATATTGGCAACGGCGAAAAATAAGTTTCGTATCATTGTACAGAGGTCACCATATGTTCAGTTTGTTGCTGGTGTATCTCTAGGTTGTCTCTGAGTTTTACGGATTTTATTTCTTCCATTTCTGAGTGATTAACTGCTGTCACAAAGTTCCTCAAATTTTTTTTTTTTTTTATTCGTTTTCAAAGCTTTTAGTATGAGCTCAGAATTTGCTTCAATACCATACCATCTAATTATCGGCCTAAAACGACAGGTTTATTTCACCCATTAAAGAAGTGATAAAATAGATCTTTTAAGACTAAGGAGTCTCATATCGTATTGTAAAACAAAAAAATATAGCCCATGTCTTTGTGTTTGTCAAGGAAATTCCCTTTCAATGCTAATTTGAAATTAAACTGAAACGTTATCTAGTAAAATCAACAGCTGGTTGCGACAAACATCTTTTTGTTTGATTAGTTTTAAAGCTACCGTCGCTGTACTGAAAAGAAAATTCCCAGGGAAAGAACTCTTTCTGAGGAAGGATTAACGCATCTCTTAGCAATTAATTAAGTCATTCATCTAGTTTTTCTGTCAGCTAATCCTCCGTCGGTAAATGAAATGACTGATTTGAAGCCGATCTAAATTTTGAATCTATAAAGAGCAATTATTCTGCAAAAACAAAATTTGCTTTGACCCCAAACTTAAACGAGGCGGCGTGTCTGTGGTGGTTAACTAATTTCTCCTAATCTTAAACAGAGTATTTTTAACGATTGTTTCATGCGTCTGTGCGCGGTCATTAATATACGATGCATGCAGGAAGTTTGAGGAGCTTGAAAGATACGTTGGAGTTGCTTAACAATAAATAATAATAAATGCTGTTAATGTAGGTTTATTCATCTCGGGAATTATTCAACAATATTTACTTCATCTTCTGAAAATAATTCTTAAATATTTTTATCGATTGTTTGATAGTTTTTAAGTATACATTCCGTCATTTTCCTTCTCGATCAATAGATTATCATGTTCACTTTAGCATAGCCATGCATGTAACTCGGGTTATCGGAGAGTAATTTTTCCAGGACAATCGCTGCAAAATTGATGGCGAAAGGAGAGAACAAATAGAAAATGTAAAAGAAACAGCAAAAAAGTTTTTGAACACGTAATTTCTTGCATTTCTTTTGTATTGTTTTTCGTTATCTCGGAAACGTAACGGAGATAAAAGAGCCACAAAATGTTACCAATCACACAGTTAAATTTAAATATCTTAAAATAAGTTTGCATCTGTGGCCTTACATCCTCAAACTTATTCAATTTGCATTTTAAAAAGCCATAATATTGAGTGAATAATTATAAAGCGGGATTGTTTGTTGCAACACGAAATAATAATTTTAAAGATGTCTTCCCGAAGCTTTTTCGGAATTCAGAATCTATCACAATGCAGGGATAATGATTGCACTTAATTACCGGCCCAAAAGAATGACAGTATATTTAAATATACCGCTTAAACCGCTTATGCTGTCAATCAAAAACTGACAAAAGAGAGTTTCCTTATCATATCGTCAAACAGAAATATTACTGACCCATGTCTGTGTGCTTGCCAAAGGAATTAACTTTAAAAGAAGAAAAATTGTAGATCGAAAATGACAAATGTAAAGTTGGAACAAAAATTAGCATCAAACGAAAAGAAATGATTATTTTGGTACCTGATGGAACCCTGGGATTAAAACGATACCGAGCGCGTAGTGCCATCATGGCTGGTGCAAAACACTAGTTTCTCCGCCTCCTTTATTTTCAGTTAACGCCTATTTTTCTTATCTTGTTGACCAAAGGGATGAAGAAAGGAAATTAAATCATGGGGCGAAATAGGCAAAATAGGCAAAACAGTTTTTGTTAAAAAAAACACCATTATAATTTTCCTGACGAAAGGAAAAAAGGCTGGTAGAGAACGAATTTAAAAAAATGGTTTGGCGCGCGGCATACCATCTTGTTACGGTTTTGTTTTTAATATAAGTCCGGAGACGCAAAACAAAACGGAAAGAAAAAAGCACGTCTTTACAAATCGACTCAAGCATTTAGAAATACGTTTTCATCTGTGATCAAAATTTAAATTTGAATTGTTTGATGTATTCGCAGATTGTCTCCAATCCAACTTTTCTAAGACCAAGTAAAATCGCCAGCTTGAAATTTTTATTTCCAATTCTTCATGGCTACTAATGATACAAGTCTGAACTTCACACGAATGATTTGGACACCAGGTTAGCACTATATCAGTGAAAGTTGATCCAAGTAAAAGGAGATTGTTCGTCGTTCTTTTAAAATATTAATACTACAAATGTCTCTCCATTGTCTACTTATTGCCATTTTATACCTGAGGCACTTCAAAGGTTCAATAAGTGGACACAACAGACAATTTTCTGACGATTTTAAATGAGTTAACGCTGATGAGGAATTAGTCCATGTGTATGAATACTATTAACTGATGTATGAGGTGTCATTGATCGTGGCTGGTTGTGGGCTGTTTAGACGACATATTACTTATTGCAATCTTAGATAGCCTACAACAAATTCCATAACAATTGGAATACAGACGAAAACAATTGAAGAAGTCCTATGCTCTCCCTCTTAAGCGGGGGGCAACAATCAGCATCAGTTTTCTGCCTGAGGCATCCCACAGCTACAGATTTCTGAGGCATTTTAAATGATTGAAAGCTAGTGAGGAAGTCTTTTTTTTTTTTTTTTTAAAGGAAGGTTTCAGTTAGACGAAATATTCCTCGTTGCAAGAACAGAGGAAACGAATGCAGAATTATGTCGACAACAAATTTCACCAGAGGTGGAACACTGCCGAAAACATCTGAAGAACTGCTATGCTCCCCTCTTTGGTGGGTGGGCTTCAACCAGCATCTTTCGCATCAGTCAACATTCTCCTCTCCATCACAACATTTCTTAGCAATTCTCTTATCCTTGTTGCCCTTCACAAGGAATCTGCCCTCCATGCGCCGTCCAAACTCTTGTATCGTTGTCTGGCAACAACTGATCTGTTGGATGGTCTTAGTGCTCAACCTCTCTATGTTACCTGTTGGATGTCCGTGGTTCACGAACACTGGACTCTTTGTTATTACGAAGAGACAGCAGCCTACATCATAGGCTCAGCATTATGTGGAGTTTCTTTGTTGACGATGGCGGCAATAAGCGTGGACAGACTTCTCGCCCCGTTGGCAGGGCTGAGACACAAATACAATACTCATCACAATTAGGCATCGCATTGGCAATGGAAGTTATCTTAGTTTTCTTTAACTCGACGTTAAACCCTTTTCTCTATTGCTGGAAGATTACTAAAGCGAGACGAGCAATGAAGCAGACAATCCGAAATGCACTTTGCTGTCCATGGAGTTAGACCATCCTCGAGTTATACACCTCCGCATAAATACTTTTAGCGCAAAGCTGACCGATAGAGAACGCTCGTCGCTTAAATTTTTGCTCGAGGTCTGTCGATAGTATTTTTGCTAGTCACGTAAAACAAATTAAAGGAAAGGTAATGGAAACACAAACCAAAACTTTTTAAAAAGTATTTTACATGCTACCAAACTTTACTTTGCATGCATCAATCATTAATTAAAGGAAAGATATACTTGCACAAGAGAATATATAATCTCTTACAATCTCATGACGTAACTTATACTCTATAAGAAAGCGAAAGAAACAATGGCTTTATCCACTTGTTTGGTAGATGAGTTGCATCAACCAACAATTTTTTTTCCCTGCGGTTTACATTCTCCTCTCCATCACAGCATCTCCTGACAACTCTCTTGTCCTTGTTATAAAAAGTTGTAAACGTAATTTTTTTTTTCATCAGAAAAATATCCATGTAGCTTATGAATGTTTTAAAATGTAATTGATAATGATGTTATAAAACAAACATTGTGTAAGTGGGTGCATGGATTTAAATCAAAACTTTCCTTTTCTTTTTGAATTCTTTTCAAAATCTTTAACTTTCCGAGATTAAACGTTATACTTCATCTTCTCCGCTCAGCTAAAGGTGAATTTCTACGTACCTGAGAGGACGGCGTTTAAAATAATTGTGAAAAGCTAATAGTATCAAAGATGTCTGTCTGTACGTTTGACTCTTGAAGCTATTTTTTTCCCATTCTGGTGACTTTTCTTAATGAACTTTCATTGAAAGGGAGCTAATCAAGTGTCCATATCATCTGTGTGAAATTAATACTTCAATCATTATCAGCCTCGACAAACTGAAATTACGAAGATCAAGCTGGCAACTTTGAATGATGTAAGAAAATTTGGACTCGTGAAATCTCCATATGCATCAAACCATGAAAACGTGAATTAATTCAAATATTAAAAAGTAGCTTGAATCTGAGGGATTGTTTATCGCATTTTGATTGAGAAAAACTGATATTACAATGTCTCTATTTTTTCCTTTTACTGCTATTTCATCCGTGAGCCACCCCACATGTTCCAACGGTCGATCAGCTGAAAAAAGGTTGTTTTTCGCCCCATAAAAATGATATCACAGTTGTCTCTCTGTTTGCCTCTTGCTGCTATTTCATACAAGAGGCTCATCACAGGTTCCGGATAAAAAGAAATCAACTCTTTGGCACAACAAACAATTTGCTTACGTACTTTGAATGAGCAAACGCTGATGAGGAAGTCTCTATGTGTTTATTGAAGGAAGTTTCAGTCATCGTCGCTCGGCGTATGCTGTCTAAACGAAATACTTCTTGTTGCTAGTTACCTCAGTACAAGAAAAAAGAAACGAATACAGAGCAATGTCGACAACAAAGTTCACTAGCGGTGGAACACAAACGAAAACATTTGAAGAACTGCTAGGCACCCTAAGATTACATCAAAGATTTACTGTGGGTGAAGTTAGCATTAGTTGTTTGTTTTGCACCATCCTTCATAGTGGTAACCGCGATTGCACATAGTAAAACACATTCATCGCATTAGGTCATCCTAGGGGAATAACCGTTGTCATGATTTACTTTAACTCGACGTTAAACCCGTGCTTTACTGCTGGAAGATAAGGTAAGAAAAACAAGCAATGAAGCAGACAATCAGACAAGCACTTTGCTGTCCATGGAGTTAGACCATCTTACTCACAGCGGTCAAACACTGTGCATGCACGTGTTTTGAAAAGAATAGGTGGGATCTGCATACGCGTGTATTACGTGAAGTGAAGAAGGAAAGGTTAAATTCTAACTTTTCCAAATTGAATGCGTAATACAGTTGAAAGAGGGTTTTCGGAGAAAGCTTGAATCTTGGTCTTATTTTATGTTGAGATATATCAACTTATTTTTAACGCAGATGCCTTGTTCCGGCGATGAAGGCAAATTACAGAAGCTTACTTTTACCCTCGCCAGCATGGCCAAGCTTACGACTTCATTTACACCGCTAAGCAAAGTGTAAAAAAAAGCACGAGAGTGTAAACTAGCACAACATGGGTCAAGTCTAAAACAACAATGTGTATAAGTCTAGGCCTTACAAACTTTGAACTTTCCAAAGAAACAGCAAAAAGCTACGCATCACTTAGATTCTAAAAGTTTATAATAACAAATCACCCATCTAAAAGCGCATGCGTAATCTTTGACCACTGTGTTGCTCATTTATCACTGTGAAGTGATAAATGGGCAACACAGTCGTTGTAGTCGCTATTCGGAATAATTAAAGAAGAGATAAATGGGAAGGAGAATTGCCGAGAAAAGAACTTATCCATAAGAATCAAATACGTTGTTGCATTTTTTTTTTTAACAATAAAGGCACTCGTGTGGTTTGCTTCTCAGCTATTTCCCCATCGATGAATAAAATAATGGTTTAAGAGTTAAAATAAATAATGTAGAGTCGAAAGAAAAGTAAATATGTTACGAAATGAATAATTTAGTATTTGATGAAATTTCGTACTCAAAACGAGGCCGAGGGTGTCATGGCTGGATGATGTCTCCTCAGCTTCCTGCGTGCTTCATATCTTAATTAACCCTTTAAATCCCATGAGTTACCAAGACAGAATTTCTCCTTACAATATCAATACAAAACCAACCAGATTAGTGGTGAGAATCAAGAAAAATGTCAATTTGGGGATAATTAGTTGATCCAATACTATATTCTCTGGACTAACATTATGAGAATTGTATGACTGATGGTAAGGAGAAATAAAAATTTGATCTGGGAGTTAAAGGGGTTAACACAAACTGTTTACTGGTTAAGATGCAGTCGCTGTTCGGTTGGCGCGACGCAGAGAGGCTGCGTACCACTGGGGGTGCAGTTAGTGTTAGTTGTTTGTTGCGGACCAATCTATAGTAAAACATATCAGTCACACCTAGTCGTTATATGGAGAGTATCAATTGTCTTACTTTACTTTAACTTGAAGTTATATCCGTTCTTTACAACTAGAAAATTAGTGAAGTAAGACAAGCAGTGAAACAGACAATCAGAGAAGCACTTTGCTGTCCGTAGCGTTACCTCCTCCTCGGTTTGGTGTTGTAAGACTTTCATTAAGTCACGATTATTATTAGGGAACGCTCGTCAAAAATATTATTGATTAAGCGGAAGGAATAGAAGTTCAGTAGAATCGTTGTACGTCTATCTTTTGTCAATAGTCTTTTCAAAGAGTAAACGCTAGTGAGGGAGTTCTGAAGTAAATGTTGCTGATGAAGGTAGAATTGAAGATCTGTGCGGCGAGTTTTGATAATTCCTTGGCATACGTCCATTGATTTTGGACCACCAATTAAAAATTGTTTTCTTCACTTCAGTATTAAGATGTAACCGTTGCAATCAAAGTAGAATTTTGAAAATTTCCCCAGAGCATCACAAAGTTACCTTCCGTTTACACGAGAGCCTTCTTTATACAAAAAACACCTTTATTATCTCACTAACATGACGTAGGAAGAAATGATATTATATCATAGGGTCACATAGACTATCTTTTCCCCGTTATTGCTTAGTATTGTCTTCAATAAAGGGAGAATATTTCAATTTAATAATCGACCCTTAAATGATTTGCCTCTTATTCCTATTTTTCATACGTGATGTACATGGCAAGTTAGACACAAAAAAAGGCCTTTTGACACAGCAGACAATTTTCTCACGTATTTCAAAGGTGTAAACAGTAGTGAAGAGGTTTTTATTAAAGATCTTATGCAGTAAATAGGATTTAGTAGGGTTTCGATCGTTTCAAAGCCTCAAACTTATTCACGGGCGAAGTAACTCCTATTGAAGCATTAATAGTGAATGCCTTATGGCAGGCTAAGTAAAGCGGAATTGTTTGTTGCAATATAAAAAATAATCTTAAAGATGTCTTTAAATATTTGCCTCCTATTCCTATTTCATATGTGATGTAACTGACAAGTTAGACACAAAATAAGTTTTTTTGACATAGCAGACGATCTTCTGACGTAATTTAAACCAGTAGAGAATAATAAGGAAGTTTTTAGATGATTCTAATGTAGTTTTAGTGATCGTCTTGCGCAGTTGCTGTTTCAGTGAAATATTTTTCTCATCGCAATCATGACAAAAACAGGAAACGAATTTAGAAAAAAAACGACCAAGCTTTTTGGGATTCATAATGTACAACCTTACAGGGAATATTTCTTCCATCAATCATCATCCCAAAATAATGACATTATATCTAAACAAACTGCTTATTCTGTCTCTCAAAAACTGACAAAAGAGAGTTTCCTTATTATATCGTCAAACAAAGATGTAGCCGATGTCTTTGTGTTTGCCAAGGGAATTAGCTTTTGGTGCTAATATGAATTTAAACTTATTCTACTGGAAAAAAAAATAGCTGCAAGGAAAACGAAACAAATACAGAATTATGTCGACGACAAATTTCACTTGGGGTGGAACACAGGCAAAAACAATTCTAGAACTGCTTTGCTCTCCCTCTTTGTAAGGTGGGCTTCAGCAAGAATCAATTCCTTTCTCAGTAGTCCACATTCTCCTATCTGTCACAGCGTTTCTTAGCAATTTTCTTATCCTTGTTGCCCTTCACAAGTAACATTCCCTTCACCCCCCTTCCTAACTCTAGTATCGATGTTTGGCATCAACTGATCTGTTGATTGTTTTCTTGATGCAAAAACATTTTTATTATCTTACTAACCAGACTATGGAAGAGAGAAAATTAGAACATAGGATGACATAGGCTAACTTTTCCTCGTTATTGTTTACTATTGTCTTCAATACTGGGAGAATATTTCGATTAAGTGATGGGCGCTTTAACGAAATTACCTTTCAGTGCAAA